TGGTTTTTCCGGTCCGGTTCGGTCCGGTTTTCCGGTGTAAACCGGATACTGCACGCCCCTTATTATTATTATTATTATTATTATTATTATTATTATTATTACTATTATGACTATTATTATTGTTATTATTCTTATTATTGTTATTATTATTATTATCATTATTATTATAATTATTATTATTATTCCGGTTCGATATGGTCTGTTCCGTTTTGGTCTGGTATGGTCTGGTCTGATCTGCTTCGGTCTGGGATTGAAATCAGACCAAGTAAAACGATAACAATTTTCGATAATTTGGAAGGAATATTATTATTTTTAATTATAAATGAATAAAATATAATTATTTATGGATTATAAAATATATATATAAAATAAAATCTTTATGCAAAAAATATAAAAAATAAAATTTCAGACCAGACCAGACTAGACCAGACCAAAACAGACCAGACCAGACCAAACCAAAATAGACCAGACCAAAACAGACCAGCAAATTACAGTCCAAGTAAAAACATCCTTACTTGTTTCTACATCTATTTCTTTACTTCTTCCATTCGAAACCCTTGGGTCGTGTGTTGGGTCTACGGGTTGAAGGAATAAACCTAAACAATAATTAAACTAGTTCCCCAATTGAATGCAACTACAAAGAATGAACTCTTTTAATCAAAACAATAAATTAAAAGACAGTCAAATAGATGAAAGTGATATACAATCACTACATGATGTCTTTCAAGTAGTTAAAGCACATCAAAATCTACTTTTGCTGCCTCACAAGTCACAATACGCTAATGCTCCTGACATTTTTATGGCATAAAAAGTATAACCAAGCATATAAAAGCTTTTAGATAAAACAAAATTAGAATTAAAATTAATTATTGGAGTTAATCGAGTAAGTAGAGGTTTCAGGCAAGAAAATACCGGCTAGATCCTTCATCCATTGATTGGAATCCTGTTCATAAGGAGAAGGCGAGGAGTTACCGACTTGGTCAGTCCGTCAGTTAGCTAGGGCTGGAGTGAGTTCGAGAGGAACCCAGCTCTACCCCTATTCTGCCGCAAGATTTGACCTCACTGGAGCAGCTTCACACTCTCGTCGCCACCATACCTTCGCCAGATTCACTGCACTAGCATATTTGGTGCGAAGAAGTTTCACGTAGAAGAGAAGAGACATGACCGCAGCAGAATCTCGTTGAAAATGTTGCTTCCCTTTGACACACTTCACTAAGGGAGTTTCCTATTGCCATTTGTCTGCTTCATCAGTAGCCCGGACTATTCACGATGAGAATAGCTCGAACAGGGAGAAGTTCCATGCTTGAGAATGTAAAACGGGACTAGGGTTAGGTTTAGTGGTTTAGAATCGCTCGACCAAGAACAACGCTCCACCAATTAAGAATAAGAGTTGCAGCCGGACCAAGAACGACGACCATCGATTGAGAAGAAGAGTTAGGGTTCATGTGTAGAAAGAAGGGAAAGAGACTTAATTGATAGGAGGAAAAAATGAAGTGTAGAAATGTTAGAAATAGCGACACTTCCTGTTCTTCATGTGAAACTTGACGATCAACCCCCTTATAGTCAAGGGGGTTCGATTTGTAGTAAGAATTTTCGAAGGTATCATAAAATTGAATCATTTATCTGATGCTTATTGTTGCACTTCCTATCTAATTATGTGTGTATTATATACACACACAACCAGATTTCCAAGATTAAGTGCATTTAGAAAATAATTTGATTAAATGAGGACTATAAATATTTATAGCTTAAAAAGTCAAAGGTTGCATTTCTTAACAACTGATTAGGGTGACTTAGAAAGCATTCTTTTAAATAAGTAGTTCTTATGTGTAATTAGGGATGGACACCAGTTGATTTTGGTCTGGTTTAGTTCCAGACAGGGATCAAACCTTTTTTCATATTTTAGCCTATCTCTAAAAAAATGCTTGAAAGACCGTACCGGAATTGGAACAAGTTGGCTCTGGTCCTCTTTTGTAGGGCTTGTAACTGTTTACGGCCAACAACTGAAAAAGGGCCAAACAGGATCATCTTTTAATTTCCTATCAAAATGTGGCCATGAGAACATCATCCTTGTTTCGGTTTCCATCTGTCATAATTGACCGGCGTGCCCAAACCACTGCAGCCTAGATTTGGGCCTCGGGAAGCCACTTTCAAAAGTTTCAAAGCATAATTATTAGGGCTAAGCATGGAATTGGGATTTTCTATTCAGAACCGTCCCGAATTGTACCATATCCGAGCCAATCGGAAAAATATAATACAGTACCGTACCGATTTTTTTTAATAATATGGTATGTTACCGGTTCTTAAGTGAGAGCCATTCCAGAACTGTCTCAGGATCGTATTAAACCGAACCGTCCTGTAGCGCCCTGAAAAATTAGTTATACAAAATAATATACACTATATTATTTACTATATTAGCCAATAATCTACATTGTGGTTACTCAAATCTTTGGTATAGACGGTATAATGCACATTCTTCAACCCTCCAGTACAATCTCATGTGTACTAAATTTTATAAATACTACTAGTAATAACTATAATACAGAACACATAAACCTAGTTTGGTTATTTTGTCAGCAACCTCGGCTGCTCTGGATCCTCCAAAAGACTAAAACCATGATTTCATTATAGTTTGACTATTAGTTTTGTATTCCTGTTAGTTTTGATTGCACATGCATGGTTAGTTTAACATTGACTTTTCAATCATGTAGTCCCTTCTCTTAAGTGTTTGTACAGTACGTTACTTATAAATACTAAAACCTAAAGTATTTTTGACTTCATGAGAGTTAATTACGTAGTATTTAGGAATCGAATAGTACCGAAGAACCGTGCCGAACCGTACAAAAAATTGGTACAGAACGAGATATGTTTTATATATATTCGGGATGGTACTAGTTATTTGGTTTTTAAAAGAACCGTGTTTTAGGATGATATAGGTTTTTCAAAATAACTGTTTTGTATCGTTCCATGCTCACCCCTAATAACTACATAGGATCAATCAAATTTAACAGGAAAAAGAAAGATGTGCCCATGCCTTATGGGACAGTTTTGTGAGGTGAATACAATTTAATTAGTTTTAATAATGTAAAGGCCTAATATTTGAAGATGTTTAAGAATGAGAATAAAACATTGAATTATATCACTTTAAGTTAAATTACCAAATTGTAAAGATTTTGCATGGATGGTTCATTTGAATAAAATGTATAAACATTTCAATGTTTTTTATTGCCTGCTCGTATATTTTCCTCCGCATATTGCTATGTGATTTATGGTAATCAATCATAAACATAACTTTTGTACGAGATAGAGTTTTTAATTTTTTTGGTGATTGAGAAGATGAAACTTCAAGCAGTGACGGAGCCAGAAAAACGGCTCAGGGTGGTCGGAGCTCAACCTATATACAGAATGAAAATTGTGGATCGTTTTTAAACAATGTTCGAGTTGAATATTTTATATGCAGTTTAGATAAATAGGCACTCCTAGAAATAAGATAGATTGTTCTTGTTCTGCATCTGAACCGTGTCACGTAAGTATTGAGTGAAGAATACCTTATTTTTCAAATTTGGGAAAATAATCTATAGTATGTATCAAATTTTGCTGATTTTACATTTAGATAGTGTTGAATTTCCAGAAGTCATAACTTTTTACTCGTAATGAGTTACGTGGGTCGTAATATATCAAATCGAATTTATTTCATAGCTCTATCATCTCAAACTTTCAATGGGGTCGACTGAACACCACAACCCCCTTGAGTCCTTGACTCCACCCCTGACTTCAAGTAAAGACTTTTTCATATCCTCTGTGCTCATAAGACAAATAAGGCATTGTTTTTTAATAATTTATTATTTATTTCTTATTTTTTAATTTAATCATATTATATTTAGATAACAAATAGGGAATAAATACAAGGCGATGTTGATTATAATAGTTGTTGGAATTCGAGAGGCATTGAGCTGGCTGAATGATTTTGGTGGGACGTACATCGTTTGAGATTGAATCAGATGCAGCAGGAGCGATTTTGGAAATTCTCAACGGATCGAGTTGCTCCTTGGTGGGATTATTGAGAGACGACATTAGAGACTTGGTGAGATCCTTTTCGCGAATTTCATTTTGTCATATTAAGCGGTCAGCGAATAAGCCAGCTCATTTGTTAGCTAAAATGTCTTGTTCTTTGTCTGATTTGAAGTCTTGGTTTTATTCTTCTCCTCCTTTTATTGTTCGGATTTGGCCAGTGATTTGATTAATGATAATTAAGTCTATTCCTTTTAAAAGAAATAATTGTTTTCTATTTCCAAAAAGTAGAACTTTTATAGATAGAGGTGAAGTAATGTCCAACTAAACAATAAGTATATTAAACCAATTGTACTGAACTAAATTAAGTTAAACTCAATCAAATAATTGTCATTATAGTAATCCGAACTTGAAACCTAATCAGATCATTGCTATACCAAACTGAAATCAAACGTAACATAAAATGATTTTCTAGGACTATCTTTTCCAAATTTGATAATCTGTAACGGACCATGATCATGAAAAACTGAATTATAAATCAAATGGCTCACCTTTTAATAAAAAAAACAATATTAATTACTCTAAATAGGACTGATAGTTAGAAATTGTTTTGTTCTGTCTTATTCCTATTATTTATTGTTTATTCTTATTTTATTCAGATCAGACCAGATTAGATCAGAAAAATTCAGATGAGATCGGATCAGAAAGATTCAGACCAGATCTTAAAGATTCAGACCAGATCAGATCAGAAAGATTCAGATCTTATAAGAACTTAAAAATTCAGATCAGAAACATTCATATTAGGTGAAGAGAACACCTTCTTAATCACATAATTTGCATAATTGCATAAATATGACTATATATCAATTTGCACAATCATACTCCGTATATCAATATCATGTAATTAATTACGTAGTACGGAGTATATGTTTGTCTAGTAGATATAATTAACACAAAGATGAACACATAATTAAGAAAAGTACAAGTAAAAACGTCGTCTCTCTATCTTTTTTCATGTTACTTTATCTCACTTCTTTGATCTTATATTCATAATAATTCCTGATGAATGTTGTATAACTAAATCGTCCCTCCGTCCCATAAAGATTTTGTTGGACGTAGGAAGTATATAATCGATCCGGAGAGAGATGTGGTCACTACTACGACCATGTTTTTCTGTCCGGCGGCAAATTTCCGTGGTGGCGCAACCCTAGTGTTAGCGACACATCACCGGAGCTGCTAGTTGCTCCAAGCCCCAAAACGCCACCGGACGGCGATCCGGCGTGGCCTTGGGGGAAATTGGTCACTGATGATAGGAGTGAAGGGTCGTTTTCTTGGTCACAGTTCAGTTCGGATCTTTTGCATGCGCCCATTTGTGCAGTGATAGTGACAGTAGTGGGCGATTGTGGTGTATGGACAGTGACCTGATTTCCACTGTTGGGGCTGCTGCTGATGCTTGTACTGTTGCTGTGTATACTCTTTTCTCCAGCTCCACCATTATCTTCTTTGGCTTCCTGTTGATACATCTCCTCTACCATGGGTTTCCACAACCTAACCCTTGCATTTATGTACCAGTTGGATACCTGAGAAATGGGATATCGTACCTATTATTCATTTCACTGGACTATATCACTTTAATTTAGATTTGAATAATTTAACTGCTACATTCTCATTGGTCCATGTGAACAAAGATATGATACTTTATGGGTAACATAGAATCTACCTATATTCATTCTTAATGAATAATGAGTCCTAGCATTATACTAGTATTAGTTGTGCTATGCCTGACTAAAGTTATTGTTTGAATATTCGATATTAGTAAATAATTATCACATTTTCGGATATCCCATACATTCAATTCCTTTTTGTATGAATTGATAATAGAGTTTTTTTATGAATGATGCCAAACTTTGATTAACAATACATTTTTATGCGTAAATATTTGTAATATTATTTATTAAAATGATTTGAAATTTTATTATTCAAAGTATTTTAATAAAAATATAAAACTTTTAAATTCCGTAACATTATGTTAGTAAAATGATCGACTAAAGTTTTTTCTAGTTAATTAAATGATCGACTAAAGTTTATATTAACATTGAAAAAAATCAAAGATAACTAACTAAAAAGGAATGTTTATAGTTAGTATATTCTACTCATTCCATAATTATCTTCTCAATTTGACTTGTGAGGTCAAACTTTGTACATGTTTCATTAATTATTTTGTAATAAAAATAAATGGTTATGAAATTTATAATGAATTCAATTGTTCATATACTAAAGCAAATTATTCAAAATTATTCTATTGTAAGCTAATGCGGATTGCAGAGTACAATTTTTTAAAGAATTCACAAGCAAAGATTTACTATATATTGTAGCAAAATTGAGTATGTAGTAAATTTTGAAATGTACGTAGAGACATTTATAATAATGGGAGAACTATCAAATAAACCCTTGAACTTTCATAAAAAGTGCAAGTAAGCCTTTTATAGGAGGCTCTGTATGGCCGTCGTCATTTGAGGCGTTTTCCGGTGAACTTTTTTGATGAAATTTCTTGAGCATCTTCTTCATTAAGTCTAGTTTACCCATACCAAATTTCAGCTAAACATTCAATTGAGAAATAAGGCAGTCAAATGATTTTCTGAAATATACTGCGTTGTCTAATTGCGCAGTTATCTTCAAAATTTCATTTGACTGCCTTCCCGATTGAATTTGTAGCTAAAATTTGGTATGAGTAAACTAGACTTAATGAAGAAGATGCTCAAAAAATTTCATAAACAAATTCCACCGGAAACCGCTCCAAATGGCGACGACCGGACAGAGCCTCCTATAAAGGGCTTATTTGCACTTTTTATGAAAGTTCGAGGGCTTATTTGGTAGTTCTCCCTATAATAATTGACTTAATTTAGAAGTGTTTTTTTTTCAAATCGACTTCGAGGCTCTTTGGTTATGGGTTGAATTAATAGATATATTCAGCTGAATTATGAATAAAAAAATTGAAATATATTTCATTAATAAAATAAACAAATAAAAGAAAAAAATCATGTTCAAAGTTTTAGGCAAAAAACTACTCATAAATTTTTTCTTAATTTTAGATATATCAGCACACCAAATAAAACGTTTAGCATTTGATAGTAATAAAAATTGGCAAATAATGGGGTGTTTGAAATTGATTTTGTTTTTGCTTCTTCTTTAAACAGAAATTGCTCTAAATATGAGTAAAAACGTTTTGAAATTCCAAAATAAGATTTTAATGTTTTTATTCCCTAAATATGAGTAATTCTGCGAAGTTTGGAAAAAATGTCATGTTTAAAGCATAGTAATGCCAAACTTGGCAGAAATTTACTCCTATTCCCAGGGAATAAAAAACTTGATAGTCCTATTTTGGAATTGCAAAACTTTTTTACTCCTATTTGGTCTCGCGCGGCTTCTAAAAAGAAGACGAAGAAGAATCAGAGTCAGTTTTTTAGAAACTGGTCTCGCACGGCTTCTAAAAATATGCTTCTGAGTGCATTTTTGAGCACTTAGAAGTACTTCTGCACTTTCACTCAAATAATACAATATCTGCTTCTGCTACCTAAAGAAGCATAAACACTTTTGAGCAGTATATCCAAAAATAACATGTTTGACGATTATATTATAGGTATGTATTTGGCTTTAAATTAGAGTACACACCTAGAAAATTTGGCTGTTCGAAACCCAAAATAACATGTTTGACGATTATAGGTATCTATTTGTGTTAATTAATTGCTCCAAACAGGGGTGGACCTATAGTATAATGAGGGTAAGCACTGACTTCACCTAAAAAAGTGCTACCAGCCTAGGTGGTAGTAGCCTAAAAATTAAAACTCCCATTAGGCATCAGAACAGGAGTTCGAATCCCTTTTTGGCTACACTCGATTTTTTTATACTTCTCTCCTACTCAATAGCCATTTTTATTACACGGATCATGCGAATGAGCTTTTAATTTTCTTTTCCCTTTGTTAGACTGGGTCGTATGTACTTAAAATTTAACACTTTTGCAATTAAAATTTAAAACACATCCATTCAAAATCCCAAACCTAAAAAAAGCTACGTATCTTAACTAGCAGCGACACAAGGATGTCCAGCCTCCGGCGATTCACTCGGTTCTCTCGAATCTGCCTTGGATTTATTTGAGGTTTATTTCTTTAATGGTAAAGCTTCAATAGTTAATAATTACTATTATCAACTTGACAATTATCATTGTTCTAATTATTTATTACTAACATTCTAACAATGAATCCATTATTTGTGTAAAAAATTTGAATTGATTCATATGCTGTCTTTCTTGAATTTGATATACTACTGCATGCACTACATCTAGCACAATGATCAATCCCACCATTTATGCTGCTATACATGCACTTTGGACTCTTGTTTGCTGTTTTATATTACTGCTACATAATTCATCGAATAGTAAATACTAACGACCGAGCTACACATATGCTATGCACTACTATGTTAATTAATATTGACCAAAGAATTGAATGAACTGTGAAAAAACAACAGTAATTAATAACGTATTCTTTGTTAAGCTATTGAATTGACCCTCTAAAGCTAAACTTAAAAGTTAGAAGCTTGTTATTCAATTGAAAATCTCTCGACTTTTATGGTTCTATCATCTCATTCTATATTTTTTCTTGAACATAAAAAGATAAGAACAAATGGATTGACATTAACTTTAACATTTTCTTAACCAGCAATATAATGGTATACTACGTACGACGTGTTTACCATCAGCGGTTTGAGTTGCATGTTTTGATCAACTTTTACATTAGCTTTTATGATAGATGAGTGGCAATATATTATATCAATTCATCCTTAGTTTTTTAAAAATATAAATGGCGACATTAAAATAATTAATCTTTTTAAATTGTTGTTGTTCTAAAAATATCTTTAGTACACATTTTAGTGGTTGACATTTCCAATTGCTTATTAGCAGTTAGCATCAATTTTTTTTGGCATGGAAAATAGCTAACTAATAATGGAAACGCGAGAAACACCCTAAAAGCTCTTTATCTGATCTAAAAGGGCTTAAGGTTCAGAGTTTGTTGATGGTGATTAGGTATTTCCAACAAGTTCGGTACTCATTTAAAAATGGGGTACCGTACCTAGCATTCACTTAATTGGTCTAAATTATTATATTATTTTTAATTTAGATTTAAATAATTCAACTGCAACATTATGATTACTCCATTTGAACGAATGTATGGTACCTTATGGGTACCATAGAATCGAATTTTATCAATTCAGGACCCGAAAGATAAATGAATTATCAATCCGGGACCTGAAAGATGGTATGTATCGATATAGGATCCGAATGATGGAAAACTATTAATCTAGGACCTCACATTTCATAGGTTTTGATTTATTTAATTTTTTATGAATTTCATTGCAATTTTTTGATAAACTTGTCTTTATAAAAGTTTATTAGTTTAATAAAACTCAATGATATTTAAAATTTTCAAAATAAAAAAAAATCATGAGAACTTAGGCCTTAGATCGATAATTTTAAATCATTCAGGCCCTATAATGATAGTTTTTCATCATTCAGGTCCTATATCGATACATTTCATCTTTTAGGTCCCGAATTAATAGTTCATCTATCTTTCGGATCCTGAATTGATAAAATTCCTAAAGCCTTCGGGATCGGATATATCGTTTCTAACGGAAAACGTGGCTAGGTAGTTAATAACTTAATATCATATCACAAGTCTCAATATAATTATATGTACCTACTTATTACGGAGTACATTGTTGAAAAAAAGATGACACCTCATCCCTGAGAGCCCTCAACACGGACCTGACGGTACCTTGGAAGGATGTAAATTAAACTATAATCACAATTTGACAGATAGAGAGTGTGACTCTGTCCTCAGTACACTCAGAGGCCTTATGTATTTTTTAGCATAGTAACCTCTCGTCGCAGTTGTCGGAATTCGAACCCAGGACCTAACCCTTATGGCACTCCGTCGATACCAGTTGAATTACGTCCACCGATTACGGAGTACATTGTTGCTATTATTGTTGGGGAGTAGGTCATTATTGTCGGTGATTAGGTAATGATACCAAGCTCCTGACAATTATACTTATGCACTGCATTATCAGACCAAGACCAGATTAACTAAAAAGGATGACACCTCATCCCTGAGGGCCCCTCAACCCCGACCGGAAAGTACGTTGGGAGGATGTAAGTTGGACTATAATCTCAATCTGACAGATAGAGAGTGGAGCTCTGTCCCCGGTACTTGCAGAGGCCCTATGCATTTTTTAGCATAGTAACCCCTCATCGCAGTTGCCGGGATTCGAACCCGGGACCTAACCCTTATGACACTCCCTTCCTACCAGTTGAGCTACGCCCACCGGTAAAGACCAGATTAACTAAATTACAAATTGTGGAGTAGTATTTTATTAGGTAGTGAATACAAGTGTCTTCTAAATCCATTTAATTTTGTACGTCTTCTTTCAAGTTAGAGTGTGTGATAACTGGTGAATCAAAAGTGTGAACCAGTCTATCGATCTAATCCTGTTTGACATCAATTCAGGATCGACGGATAAATTA